ACCACATTAGAGAGGATTGGAGGAGAGCAAACTGGTCACTGAGATGCACTCAGAAAGTCTGTCCTTACTAGTAGGAACTGAATCACTCCAGGGCAAAATTCCTGAAGGGAACCCTCTGTCCAAAATGAAAAAGTAAAGTGTTTGACCCAAAGTGTCCAATGCATTTGTTAGATCTAAAAGCACAACAACCCTCAGTACAGTGTACATTTCAGGACATCCTCAGGTATTAGGAAAACATTTTTAGACACCATACTAACATATTGTTACATAACTCAAAGGTCAGTACGAATGTATTGCACACCTGAGAACAGAGTAAAACCGTTGTCCAAATACATCATTAAAATGCAACAGTGGAAGGACATAAGATTCAGCCTCCCAACATTATTACCTGTGATGTACAGTAGACCTAACTGTAACTTAAAGAGCAAGTCACAGTAGACCTAACTGTAACTTAAAGAGCAAGTCACCCCCCTACCAGAGTCTTACTCCACCCACACTTCCTTAAGCAAAAATGTGCCAAAAGGAGATGTAGCCTGGTGGACCGAGAGGGGACCAGTGGCTGACAATTTGGCAGCGAACTGCAACAGTTTTGTCTGGTGGAGTTTTTCACGAGGCCTTATTTTTCCGACACTGTTCAGTCGAAAGACTGTTGGGTTTTCAAATGAAACCTGATTTTTTTCTCTATGATCTGATGTCTAACAATGTATTCCTGAGATCTGAGTATGTCCTAAAAAGTAAACCGTGCATCTAGCACTTTGTGACTAAACAATAGTTTTATTATTGGTCCAAATACAATGTTCTTAGTGATATATGATCATGTAAAGATAAAGATGCTTACATTTTGGTGGATCTTCAAGTCAACAGTGATATTTTGGAGACGACATCAATCTTAAGCCAGCAGATTGGGTTGTGACCAATATTTCAAACATCTCCCATACTTCCTAAAGTTTTCTAACATTTTAGAAACCACAGGAACTAGATAGTTTTGGATGCAAGTGAAGGCACTTTGTGGACTATTTTGACAAAAAAATGCAATTTTTCAAACTGTTTCAAATACTTGCAACACAGAGCTTTGCAACTTGCAAGAAAATGGAGAACCATTGTGAATAACGTCAGATATTTGAAAACATCTTGCAAGTTGTTTCCCAAAATCAGTCAGCCACATGCTGGATTTAGAACCCTAGCGATGTTTTAGACATTAAAATGTCACAGTTTTATTACCATGAGTCCAAATACCTGTACTGTCATTACGCTTTTTGGTGTTTCCCACAGCCAATTCTAAGCACTGCTGGTGGACACTACAGGCTGACTCAGAGAACCTTACAATAAAGCACAAAAACTTCTGAGCATATGAAAAATGTAATTCTCTCAAAACAAGCATCTGTTCAAGCTTCTGTTTAAGTTGCATCCAACATTTCTTGGGGGCTACTGTAGAAGTAAGTTTATTAATGTTTATCACACCTGAGTTAGCTAATTCGTCTATCTCTTCAGAGACAAGGCCACATCAACAAACTTCCTGAGCAACAATATAAATGTGAGTCTCCATGTCAAACTGATCACACGGTCAAGGCCACTGGATGAGGTAAGGTCTACTCATACTTCCTGTTTGTCACACTGAGCCTCTGCTAATGGATGAATCTCCTCATTCTGTCTGGTTGGAAAGGATGAAAACTACACACATGAATCTGAGTTCTTCATTGTGGGCTTTCCAAGTCTCCAGCTGGAGTATTTCCAGGAGACATGGTTCTTCTTCACAGTGTGTCACAAACAAATTATTAACTACATGTTGATCACGGTGATCTTTGAGAGCTGAATCATACAAATGTCTGTATTTATGAACCTCTGCCATACTAGTTCTTGCCAGTCCACTATGTTTTTCCGCGTCGGAAGACCCGTGATGACGCCAAACACAGTGAGTAATATAAAAGTCTTTATTAGGAGTGAAGTTACCAGAGGTGGGCGAGGCTGAGGCAAGGTCAGGAGGAAGCATGGGTCAAAACCAGAGAGATCCGTGAATGCTAAAAGGGGCAGGCAGGAGGCAGAATCCAGAGAATGGTCAGAAGGTCGAGAATCCAGGGGGTCAGAAGCAGAGAAACAATCCAGGCAGGGAGCAGGCACGTGGGCTGGTAGAGATACAGGAACAAGGTCAGGATCAATGATTCAGGCAGAGGTCAGGAGTGCTGGAGAATTTACTGGTGTGCGCTTTCAATAATCTGGCAGTGAATGGCTGGATGGCTGGTTCTTTTGTAGTAGGGGAAGCAGGTGTGTGTGATGAGCTGAGGAGTCAGGAGCAGGTGAAGTGGATGAAGCTGATTGTGGTTGCAGGGGAAACAGGGCTTGTAAGGAGCTAGATGAGGGGACCAGGTGTGCAGCATGAAGGCTAAATGAAGAGGCAGGTGAGGGTGAAGGATGGGAGTCATGACACAGTGGTGGGAAACATGATTTTGGTGTTGATGTTTGCTTTGAAGCACAACCTGCAGAAGCCCATGTATGTGTCTTTTATACAAAACGCAACATAGCTTTTATTTTTTGTTTGTTTAGCAAAAAAATAAAAAATAAACAGCAAATGTCACAAAGTGGGCACAAGTTTGCATCTAACTGCCACAATTCTCATTTGATCTGCACAAAAATCAATATAGGTGATATTAATCCAACCCCTTACAGACAATTATGCAAATAATCAGTGGGCGTGGCCAACTTGGTGAAATAGCACCAACTAGAATCAATAAAACAGTCCACCCCAAGCCATGCTTTGACTGAGGATCATAAAATTTGGTACATTTATGTAGTGTCAACATATCTACAAAAGCCTCTGGCAACCATAGTCTAAACCCATCAGAAAGATGTACACTTTGGTCCAGTGATGCCATTTAGTCAATTTGACACAGTGTGTTTGAACAAACTTGTCCTAGGGCTTTTGACCTACATACTTTAAAATGACACAGTATACTCTTAAAGCTTCTTTCTGGAGTATTTCTCTTATCCGATGGCACCCTCTAGTGGCTGACAAGCATATCATACAAATAGTCTCTTGATCTGTTTTATTTTTTTTATTTAAAGCATCTAAGCAGTAGTCTAAAGCTTGGTTTATGCTTGACGCATTTACTTTCCGCTTGGTGATGCGGCTCTCGGATGGAAAGCGCTTCACAAATTTCAGCGTTTATGGTTCATGCGGCTTGTCTCTGCGGTGAACCAATATTATCCCAAACTGAACGTGGCAGCATGGAGCTCTAGGCATGCATCCAACACTACACCATAGTAGAAGTAAAAATTACTGTTGTTTACAACATGGCATTCCAGCATTTTTTTTGCAGCGTCCTCGTCTTTTCCGACAGTGCGAGCTATTTCTCTCCAAGAATTATTAACAACATGTTGATCACGGTGATCTTTGAGAGCTGAATCATACAAATGTCTGTATTTACGAACCTCTGCCATACTAGTTCTTGCCAGTCTGCTATGTTTTTCCACGTCCGAGCATCAACGTGGTTAAAAAACTTCCTAGGTGTGTGGTGCAGAAAGTTTGGGCCGTGCGGAGGCGCGGTGGAGGGGCGTGGTTGCTAAAATGACACAACTTTGCCGCGCGGAGCCGTGCGAACCTCGCGGACGCGTTAAGCATAAACCAAGCTTTACACTATTGGTTAGTTCTGGTCGGTGCTCAGTTTCTATTGCACAGAGCTCTGCGGGGCAGGGAGCATGCTTAGCAGAAAAAAAGAAAAGACGTATTGCTTACATTATATCAAAGTATATGATAAGACATTCACTTTTAAAGATTTCTGAAAAGCGTGCATAATTTGTGAAAACTCCAAAAAGATACTTTATGGCAATGGAGGTCAGAACTTGTTTGAAGATTTTATCTCTTTCATTGATTAACATACAATACTGTGCTAAATTTTAGGCAGGTGTGAAACCATGTTGTAAACAACCATTGCTTTCAGAAATATAAATAATGATTGACTTTTTTTTTTTTATCAATTTACAAAATTCTAACATTCAGCCTAAGTCATTAAGAACTATCTTCAGCAAGAACAATAAGTCCTGGAAGTGATGGTATGGCCTTCAAACAGCCCTGATCTCAACAGTATTGAGTATGCAGGATTAAATGAAGTGACAGAAGTCTACATCCACAGAAGATTTGTGATTAGGTCTCCTAGATGTTAATGTTGCATCAAAAACTGTGTACAAGTGTACGAAGAAGAATTGATGCTGTTTTGAAAGCAAACGGTGGTCTCACCAAATGTTGATGTGATTAAGACTTCTCTGTTGTTTTTGTTGACTGATGAAAATGAATGATTAATATTTCAAATTTTTAAAGCATCCTTTCCTTACAGCATTTTTCATACCTGCCTAAACCTTTTGCACAGTACTGTACATGTAATGACCCTTTTTTTATTACTTTTACAAAAATAACTTTTTAACAGAAATTCCAACAACACATGGCTTTGCAACTGTGAATGTCAATATGAATGTGAATAATTCAAGACATTTTGGAAACTTCTCACAGTCAACCACAGGCTGGATGGAAAACTCTGGTAATGTTTTAGACATTTAAATGTCACAGTTTTGTTACTGTGAGTCAAAGAACATTGACGGATTGACATACGGCTGGATTTTGAAAGCTTGTTCAAAAGTGTTTCCCACAATCTCAATACAACACAGAATGGATTGAATTGTCAAACTTGTGTTGACATTAATCTAAATACATCTTATGTTCCTTGGTGTTTCAGTAGAACCCCATTATGGCACAATGAGGAAACCTTAGAATAAATAGATATTCTACTCAAACAAAAAAGTTTGCAAGTCATATCTAATGTATCTTTGGTGCTGCTAGAAAGTTTATTCAAGATTCTCATATCTGAGTGAGCTAATTAATCTATCTCTTCAGAGACAAGGCTGAATCAACAAACCTCTGCAAGAATTTAAATGTGAGTCTCCTTGTGAATAAGTTCACACGGTCAAGGCCATCGGATGAGGGAAGCTCTACTCGCTTCCTGTTTGTCACATTGATTCTCTGCTAATGGATGAACCTCCTCACTCTGTCTGCAGAATGGCTGGAGTGGATGAAAACTACACCCATGTATCAGAGTTCTTCATTGTGGGCTTTCCAAGCCTCCAGCTGGAGTATTTCCAGGTGGTGGCATCGTTCTTCTTCATCTTATACGTGACCACAGTGGTGGGAAACCTGATTTTGGTGGTGATGTTCACTTTGGAGCACAACCTGCAGAAGCCCATGTATATCATCATGGTCAGCCTGGCTCTCTCCGACATAGGTCAAATATGTGTCTTTTTATATAAAACACGATTAAACTTTTGTTTGTTTTTTTAAATTAATGTGTGACCTTGTTCCATTCAGGCTTCTCTACTGTAGCTTTACCAAAGCTCATTGCTCGCTACTGGTGGAATGATGGGAGTATTGGTTTTTACACGTGCCACTTCCAAAGACACATGATCCATTATTTTGGCAGCTTGAACTCCCTGATTTTGCTGACTATGGCTGTGGACCGATACCTGGCCATCTGTTTTCCTCTCAGGTTGGAAAACATCAGCTGTAAGAATTTTCTATCTAGAAGGACAGAAATCACACCGCTCTGTCCCTTTTTCCCCTCCCACTCTTCTCTTTGCAGATACCCCATGATGATGACAATCCAGACCATGACGGTACTGACTGTCTTATGCTGGGCTGTGGCTCACATCTTCCCTGGGATCACCTCCATCAGCCTCGCTCAAATGCCATTCTGTGGGTCCAATCAAATCATCAATGCTTTCTGTGACAGCAGGTCTTTAGTCAGTCTAGCATGTGGGGAAACAAGAGATCTGTACAACACTATCTTTAGTGCAGCTATGGTTGTTCTTTATGTTCCTTTAGGCTTCATTGTCTTCTCTTACATCTTCATTGTCATTTCAGTTTCACGCATGGTCAATGGGCAGGTGGGTTTTATCTCATTTTATGCTTGATAATAAAGTTCCTAAATCATTTTCTACATAAATGTGGCTGGAGGGTTAATGACATAGTAGAGGACATTTTAGTCCCAAGATATTGTTTAAGCATGCATTTAGCCGAAAGTGACTTTTACATAATTTACTTCATTCAATTAATTTTTTGGTGTGGACATTAATTGTCAATACAGGAAGCTTTGTGATTTATATAATAGCATTTATGTCCCATGTTCATCAAAGTTTGATCATTTTAATTAAATTTTAATAAACCTTTAACCCTAATGTGCTGTTCTCCACAGGGCAGAAAGAAGACCTTTTCTACCTGCGCCACTCAAGGTTTCATCATCGCTATCTACTATGTTCCTCGTTTCTTTGTCTACGCTGCACCGTACTTCCCTAACTTGAAAATGACCCCTGACAACCGAATAGCTATGACTCTTTTCTATAGTCTCTTCCCTCCACTGATAAACCCGTTTGTCTACTGTCTGAGAACAAAGGAGATCAAGGAAATAGTCAGGCGCTGGATCCAGAGACAGAAGGCCATTAGGCCCAATCCAGGACAAACTGTTGTCCGTAAATTACACTCATAAGATTTAATGTAATAAATTGTAGTGATGCACCAATATGACATTTTTGGGTCAATACCAATCTCCGATATTAAGATCATTGTTATCGCCAATAACCGATATTTGCTGATATCGATATACTGACATTAATGATTTTAAAATCAGCAATTTTGTATAAAATGAAAATTATTAAAGCCTAATTTATATTATTATGTACACACACCACACACATTTACGTTTCTCAGATGATTACATTCACTGTTCACATGACTAAACAATTACACATCACCCCCCTCACCCTCTGAAACAGGCAAACAAATGGAAACAAGATAGAAAAAATATCGCTTGTTAATATCGGCCCGGTTTTATTTATCGAACCGATACTGATATGTTAAAAAATTATTAACATCGGCCGATACCGATATTAATGCCGATATATTGTCCATCCCTAATAAATTGTTATATAAATTAGTTTTGGTGCCAATGAGCTTCAAAATCTGCAACAACTCATCTTTATTTAAATTGTAGAATCTCTATGCCCCCTGATCTTTTACCAATCCTGTCAAGATAAGTAAACTTAGTTTACCAAGATCATGAAGGAGCATTTCATTTAATAATTTTGATTTTATAAAGCAACCACCTAATGTATTTTTGTAGTAAATAAATGGTTTATTGTAACTATTTGAATAAACTGTCTCATTGAAACAAGGCCAAAAGAACATCTCCATAGGACAAAAGGTTTGCATGTGCTTTAAATGTTTTAAAATGCCACCTAAAATGTTTATAATTAGGATGAAATAAATGTTTCCAAGCATCATTTATTGTGCTTAATGTACCTAGATAAGGTGTGTCCAAAGTGCAGGCCAGGGGCCATTTGTGGCCTTCGGAGTGATTTTGCGTGGCCCTCACTAGCATTTTTAGAATTGTGGAATCAAGTCTCTCCAGGAGGGTGTTGATATAAATTCATATATTTTAATATTTTATGTTCAAATTTTTAGTAACATATCTATTTTATGCCTTATTTGAGCAGAACAAATGAAATATATAAATCAATGTTTGCATTCTTAAAAATGTTTTATTTTTGTGGCCCGTGAGGAGTTTTGGTCCTCGTCTTTAAAATTTGGACATCCCTGACCAAGATCAATGTTATTTGTAAATTAAAAAACTATATTATTTGTTATCATTATTTGTGTCTTCTTGCAGGTTGCTAATAAAAAGAATTCACATTTTACAGATTCATCAACTGCTTGTATTTTAATCAATTTCATTAAGGGTCAACACAAAAGCCTCGACCCGTTTGTCTTCTGTTAATGTAAAACATATATAAATGCTCACTATTTCATAAAAGTGAACCAGGGTACCTATTTTGCCTTATTTCTAAAAGGTTTAAGTGTATTTTAATAACTAATATTTCAACTAAACCTTCATTTTGCATTTATTTACTACAATCCAGTCCAGCTGTTGTTCAAAAACACTTTAAACAATCAGAGTAGGGGCAAAGTGTATTACAGTAACAATGAATAAAATATCAACATTTGGACATCATGAAATAAATATAGGAAACATTGAATTTTAATTGGTTGAGGGACATCCGTGTCCTAATGTCATCAAGACAATTAAGAAGTGGCAGGACATAGTGTGAGTCTTTCCTTTGAAGAGGGATGAAGCATAAAAGTGGAATGGAATATTATGTTTTCTAAAGACTGACCAAGTCGGAGCAAAAAGAACAAAATCAGGATAGGGCCTAAAACTGATCCCTGTGAAACCCCTCATGAGAGTGGACTGGAGGAGGGCACATCTATATGTGCACCTGGTACCAGGATAATGCAGATCGCAGCTCGATGAATGAATTTTTTGTTGTCTCATCTAATCTGTGGCCTCCAGCACAGCGTCTGGGGGAGGTGTGGTGTTGACTCACAGTGGGCCATGTTCCATGCTTCAATTGTTGAGAGGTTTGACTGGAGCTGTGGGTGCAGGATGATTGGTGCCTGTTGTAGCAGCAACCCTCAAACCTGCTGTTAGACAATGGCATTGAGGAATGTCATCAAGCTGAAGAAGTAGTCACATCTTTCTAGACTGAGGCTCCAGAGTAAGTAAGTAAGTAAGTAAAAGTTTATTTATAAAGTGCCTTTTGCAGATATGAATCACAAAGCGCTGTATAACATGAGTAAAATCAGGGCAAATACCTCAAACCAATAATAACAGATAATAAAAAAACAATAGCAGTGACAAAATTGTAAACAAAATCAGGAGTAAAAACAAAGTCAGGGTATGAACAAAGACAAAGCCATCTTTCAGATTATTTAGCGGGGGAACGCCTGGATGAAAGGTGAGTTTTAAAATGTTTTTTGAAGACCTCTACAGTTTTGGAGAGATGGAGTTTTGAAGGCAGACTGTTCCAAAGTCTGGGGGCAGTAGTCTGAAAGGCCCTGTCCCCTTTGGTTTTTAGTCTGGTTCAAGGAACAGCCAGGAGGTTTTGAGATGTGGATCGAAGGTTCCGTGAAGTGGTGTGTGGGGATAAAATGTCAGATAGATAGCTTGGAGCCTGGTTGTTAAGAGCTCTATAGGTCAGCACCAATACTTTAAATTGAATTCTAAATTCTACCGGGAGCCAGTGGAGGGGCTGTAAAACTGAAGGGATGTGAGTTTGTCTGCTGGATTTTGTTAGGAGATTGGCTGCTGCATTTTGGATGGCTTGAAGGCATGAGAGGCAGGTTTTGCTGAGACCAGTAAAAAGAGCGTTACAATAGTCTAAGCATGATGACACAAAGGCATGGATGATTATTTCCAGATCTGCAGTTGAAACCATTTTACGAACTTTTGAAATGTTTCTCAGGTGAAAGAAACAAGAGCGGGAGATGGTTTTGACGTGTGAGTCTAAACTTAAAACTGGATAAAATATAACTCCCAGGTTTCTAATGTTGGACTTGGCTGTTGGGCACAAGGAGGCAATCTCCTGCTAGATTTTGGGCTGAAGTTCCAGGGGTGCTGAGATCAGGGTCCCTGTCTTGTTGGTGTTGAGAACAAGAAAGTTGCTGGACAGCCAGTTATTGATCCGGGTCAGGCAGAGTACAAGGGTGGCCAGCCTGTCCAACTGGTGTGGCATGAAGGACATATAGAGCTGATTATCGTCAGCGTCGATGTGGTAGGAGATGTCAGGGAAAGACTGAATGATGCCAGCTAGAGGAAGAATATAGAATGTGAATAGTAGAGGCCCAAGAACTGAACCTTGTGGGACCCCGCACGTTAGAGAGGTGGTGTCTGATGAAAAGGTTTCTGACTTATTCTGAGTTTTTGGATCAGATCTCTGATTTTTTATCAGATTTGGTGCTAAATACTGATAAGGTCATTGTAGTGGGGGATTTTAATATTCATATGGACATTGAAAATGATAGCCTCAATGTAGCCTTTAGTAATATCTTAGACTCAATTGGTTTTACTCAAAGAACACATAGCTCCACCCACTCCTGCCATCATACATTGGACCTTGTGCTGACTTATGGCATAGAGTGTGAGGAAATAACGATCTTCCCACATAATCCAGTCCTCTCGGACCACTTTCTGATAACCTTTGAGTTTTTTATAACTGAGTTTTCAAGACATGAAAGTAAATTTCACTATAGTCGGTCTCTATTTGACAACGCAGTTGCATCTTTTAAATCAACTGTTCCATCTTTACTGTCCTCAGCATCTCAGAGGAACGTAGCAGAGGGCAATATTCTCAGTTCTAACCCCTCACAAATTGATGCCTTAGTTCATCATGTTAATTCCTCTTTATGTGTGGCATTAGATGATGTTGCCCCTTTAAAAAAGAAGGTAATTAGGGACAGGAAGTTGACTCCCTGGTTTAATTCTCATTTACGAGCCTTAAAACAAAACTCTAGGACATTGGAGAGAACATGGCGCTCTACGCACCATGAGGAGGCCTACCTATCCTGGAAAAATAGTCTTGTGCTTTATAAAAATAAGCTTCGACAAACTAGAACTGCTTATTTCTCAGCATTAATTGAGGAGACTAAGCATAATCCTGAATTTCTTTTCAGTACAGTTGCTAAACTTACACAGAATCATAGCTCTGAGCCATCTATTCCCTTAGCCCTCAGCAGCAATGACTTCATGGGATTTTTCACAAGTAAAATTAATTCTATTAGAAACAAAATCATTAGCATCCTCCCTAATGCGATTTCTTCTTCCTCAGTAAGTGAGGCAGCATCAGAGGTGACTTTAGAACCTCATCTGTGCTTGAACCGTTTTGATCCAGTTGAGCTTTCAGAGTTATCAAAAATATCAGCTTCATCTAAACCTTCAACTTGCATTTTGGATCCAATCCCAACCAAATTATTTAAAGAAGCATTTCCTTTGGTTACTGCCCCCATTCTAAATATAATCAATCTATCCTTAGTAAATGGGTATGTACCACAGGATTTTAAGGTTGCTGTAATCAAACCTTCACTTAAGAAGCCTTCTCTGCATCCAGATGACCCAATGAATTATAGACCAATATCTAACCTTCCATTTTTATCCAAAGTCCTGGAGAAAATAGTGGCCATCCAAGTATGTGAGCATTTAAACTCTAATGCTCTGTTTGAGGAATTTCAGTCTGGTTTTAGAGAGTATCACAGCACTGAAACTGCGTTAGTGAGAGTTACAAATGATATTCTTATGGCCTCAGATAAGAATCTTGTGTCTGTTCTAGTCTTGTTAGATCTCAGTGCTGCCTTTGACACAGTTGATCACAATGTTCTTTTAGAAAGACTTGAACATGTTGTAGGGATCAAAGGAGCAGCGTTAGGCTGGTTTAAATCCTACCTGTCTGACAGATTTCATTTTGTAAATGTACATGACAAATCTTCTTCATACTCCAGGGTTACTTGCGGAGTACCACAGGGTTCAGTGCTTGGACCAATTCTTTTTACTATATATATGCTCCCAATTGGTAAAATCATTAGACAGCATGGGATAAACTTCCACTGTTATGCTGACGATACTCAGCTATATTTATCCATTAACCCTGATGAACCTAATCGGTTAGTTAGATTACAGGCTTGTCTTGAGGACATAAAAAGTTGGATGACTCTAAACTTCTTGCTTATAAATAGAGACAAGACGGAAGTTCTCATCTTTGGACCAGAAATCCAGAAAAGGAAATTGCTTAGCCAATCACCTGACTTGAATGGCTTTACATTAATCTCCGA